TCGCTATTAGGTTGGAGGCCATTTGCTGTTGGTTCAGTATGATCAAGTTTCCACTCACGACTCCCGGAGGGTCCTTGAGCACCCAATCGGCGGTGATGCGAGGGCGTGGGCCCCCGGTACTGCCCATGATCTGCATCGGTCGCAGTGGCTGGAGGGACTGAGGTATTCTTGGAGGCCCACCACTGATTCAATAGTCCTTTCCGATCATCAAGTGTTTTATTGAGGAGCATATACAAAACAAGCTCAACCTGTCCTTTGTTCTGGTCTTGGCAGGCTTACTGCAGTAGATTGATGTCACGGCGTGAGGCGTGGCCTGCCGGTTTCTCAGGTGCCCAGGGTGCCGTGTGATACAGATCTCTTCTGAAGAACTCGTCCGGCTGGCGTGACTCCATTTTTGCAGGGCGATCTCCCAGTAGCAAATGGTGGATGTGGGCCAATCAATCCTTGACATCTCGAAGTATGACGGTTGGAGAAACAACCATTTGGTTGTCCCACGGTCAAATCGATGCAATCTGTAATACCCATGGGAGGACACATCAGGGTGTTCATTGAATTTCCCTCTGTGAATTCTTATGGAGAGGTGGATTGAAACGATGCAGTTCAGCCCACCTTGGAAGCTCTGCAGCCCTGCGGCTCCCGAAACAGGAACTCTGAGGGGTTTTCTTGTCCATGCTGGGCAAGGATGGATGATGATCTGGCGCAGTCACAGTCCCAAGACCATGGCTCCAACCTCCTGAAAAAAGGTTGGCCGGTCGAGGAAACCTCCAAGCTCAAAGGGTAAAAAAACCCAAAATACCTGCACCACACCGCCTGCATCTCGTAGGTGCGCGTCTCCAAATGTTCAATGAGCATCCCAAGCTTTCGATACCTCAGACCGGGGTAGTTCCCGGCGCGATGCCTTCCGATCGGCTCGAGGCTCGGCTCGCAGCTTCCGCTGCACTCATCTCGAGTGGCATCAAGCTCCATCCCGAGATCGGAAGTGCTGCCAAGCTCCATCATCTGAGCGGAAGCTTTTGTGTGACAACGTTGATCCAGCTCCATCTCCCCATATCTCCCCGGTGCGTTCCAGCCACTCGCGACGTCTCTTTCATGCTAGACTGAGACTGGAAAGAGCAACTGGCATGGCCCCCTATCTTTTCGTTGCAGGAGGATCTTGGAATATGGTCCGGCCTCAAGTTCTCCAAAAAGATGGATGATCTTATTCATTCTAATAGGATCTTCAGACAACTCCCTGTCCATTATCCCCAGTTACCACAACAGAATGCCCATGGCTCACAAGATTCCAGTAGAGACCGAGACGATGTCTTTATTGAAATGTGATCGAAACCCAATCCGTACATTGTTTTAAAGACTTCCGTGCTCTAGCTACTAACCCGCCCAACCAAACGAATGAGTGGTCAAAAAGACATCGATCTGCCGCGTCGATTCCGAGAGTAGATCGAGGCACCCTGAAGAGAGCACGCCAGAGAGTGCCAGTTGCCCAAAGGACAGTCCTGGTGCCTTCGATCGCCAGGTGGTGCTGGGTGGTGCTGGCGATCGAAGGCGATCGATTGAAGGAGCCGTTTGAAGGGCCCTTTTTCAAAGCTCAAAGACTCAGGGGTTGCGGTTGGAAGGTTTGGTGTAGTAAGGGTGGTGGCAATTCATCAATGGCAGGGCCGGAATGGGATAAACATGGATAAGCACCCCATACTACCTACCAAAAGAAGTCTAGAGTCTAGAAAAAAGAAAAAACATTGCATGTGATGAAGACAATTTCAATACATAATTACCATGTTTTAGGTCTTTCTTCCATCAGCAGTAGAAAGCCTCGATGGTCTGGCCTGTCCGGACTGGTCATCTTCATACTCCTCATCATCATACGACATCCATCTGAGCCGTAGACGGGTCCTACCCGTAAATATCTGATGTAGCTTGTATATCTGGCTTACAGGGAGTACAATATCAACATTGTACAATATAGTGCCAATGAAATAATATTGATGCTAGACCACCTGGTACGTATCCTGAGAACAGATACAAAGCCGAAAACATGTTGCCTATAACATGGCTTTGGGGTCTCGTTTCGAGCCACCAGCATCGCTTGGTCTCGCGTAGCGATGGGGTCTCGGTCGTACAGATCCAAGAGCTACAGCCTCTTCGTAGGAGAGGCTTTCCAGGAAGGAGAAGAAAGGTGATGCAACTTTGGCACTTTTGATGTGGCCTGTTTTTTGGGGAGTGGGTAGGGAGGCTAGCGATGAATCACCTGTAAGACCAATTCAGAAAAGGGTGGCCCTTGTGATAAATAGGTTCCATCAAAAGCTTGCTCTCCCCTCTTGGGACAATCTCATTGGACTTTGTGACCAAGCTGTCTTGGAGCCAGCGGCTGCGCCGGTTGGCCTTCTACCAACCCTGCAACTTTGAAGGAGTCTTACCGACTCCTTCGACGATGTCCGTCTATGTTGTTGCAGACGGTTCTCTCTGTTTACTGTGGGGAGACATGTTACCACCAGTTGCTGTCCTACAACTGATGATTGCGTGTGATGTGTTTTTCACGCAAAATGCGGCCCTTGGCAGCCTGCGAGACTGCACATGAATCAGATTGAAGGGTTGCAGGTGTGAGAACCTTGAAATCCTGCACTGCACTTGCGGAGTTAACGTCTGCGGAGGACTCTTGTTGGGCCAGGTGTGAGGATCTCATCACTTTGCCAAAGTCCTTGGACCCAAACCCAAAACAAAACCCAGCGGCCTTTTCGGCATGTTCAGCGTGGGGCTGGCGACATGTGGCTGGCGACATGCGGCTGGCAACATGTCACCAGGTATTCTGGGTGGTCATAGAAGAAAATACCCCGGTAGCCACCAAAATCCCTGGAACTTAGAAGGGAGGTTACTCTACTTGGAGCTATCCAGTCTACTGCTGGCGAGGCATTGGAGGGATGCTGGGTCGGGCCACTTCTGTTACCGCTGTTGGTGCTGCTGCTGCCCTTGCTACACTTGTTTCTGTTGGCGTTGTTGTTCAGAGGTCAAGCCACTTGCTTGACTACCCCAAGCCTGTCCAGACAAAAAGAAAAAAAATGGGATCGTGGCAGCCGGAAGTTGGAATTGTTTACCCACTTTCTGACCCAGGATGGCTCAAAACCAAGAGTTGAAAACAAGGTCTTCAGGCAAGCATCAACCCACATGAGCTCAACCCATCTTAGTGGCCAACATCGAAACCCTTCGGTGGACAGGCTGTCCGGCACCTAGAGAAATCCTATTTTTGCGCATTCGCTGCGAGAGTCAATGGAGCTGAGGAGTCTCGTGGTGCTTAGGTATGCCTCTCCCAGCAGTTTCTTCATCAGAAAGACTGATTCCGCATCAGCTTTCCTGGTGCTTGCCCCGGAAACAATCACTTCGCTTTGACCACCCTGAATTGCCAGAACGCCGCCCCAGGTTTCTTGGAGCGCTGTCGCACCAGCATCTCACTCACGCCTCCGCGCATGCCGGAATACCCGCACGCATACGTACGGCTGGCACACGTAAGGCCCTCATGAAAGGACCAAATGAGCTTTCCGCAAGCTCCGATAGACCGAGTGCAGGTAAGATTGGTAATATTGACAGAGCTTCTGACACTGCTTCTCTTTCGAGCACCTAGGCGCTGTCAGGTTTGTGGGAATCCCCAAGGTTAATCCTCGAATCCTGCTCCAGAAAAGAACTCAAGAGCTGTTGGGGATTGAATGCCAAGGGTTCCAACAAAACAGTCTGGAAGCTGGGCACACTGCTGGGCACCTCCAAAAGTGTCGTGCATTGGAACTCTGTTCACAATCGGCTGAGGAAAGGCAGGTCTTTCTCACATGTCCTTGTCATCTCTCTAAAGCACGACTTGATCCGCAATTCAGAATTCATGACACAGGATCCGATGAGGGAAACGGGAAAAAATCGAGATTGTAAGGTGAACATGGTTTTGTTTTAGGGGATATGTACCCACCCAGGCCAAGATGTACCTATCTAGCAGCCTAGTGGCCTAGTGGGGGCGTTGCTGGAGCCAAGGAACAGGAGCCAATTTGGGTACGGTTCATCGACCAAGCCACTGCAATGATCTGAACCCTGGGAAGAACCTCCGCAAATTCTTGCACGATGGGAAGCTCCCCAGCTCATGGCATAGGAGATATCATTAGCCGTTCCATTTTGTCCCCTCTAATAGTATCAACAATCAATCAGAATGAAGGCTCTTGAAACTCACTTAGCTCATACAACATACTTTACACAAGCTGACCATACAAATGTCCACCCACCGCCCTTTATCTCTACACGGCCTCTGGGAAATAAAAAAATCGATGTGTCTCCCGCACACAACCTCCCGCTCCATCCATTTGCACCCAGAAGCTTCTCCAAGAACGAGCGAAAGGGCTCAAAACGGACCATCCCTTCGTAGACATAGGGCAAAATATCCGAATCCTTGACCCGGGTCATCTGACGAGGGATGTCTTTTGGGTCGCAGCGCATGTCGTGCGCATCTTGGATCAAAAGCCGGTTCATTTGGTCCGGATTCAGAAATTGGGGAAGTTGGGTGTGCTGGGGGTGGTTGCCTGGGAGGTCTACCTCAGAAGTGCTTTCCAGCGTTTTGTGTTTTTTGTGTTTTTGGACTGTTAGTTGCAATAGGTCTAGCATTGGCTGTGGTATTGTAATCGGTCCTGGATGCGTCCACAGAAGTCTAGAGCCTTCTTTTGTTACAACCATTCACCCTTGACCTGTGGGAGCTTGATGCCATTCACCCTGTGACCTGTGGGGGCTTGATTCCATTCGCCATGCTGTGGGAACGGTAGTGCCATTCACCCTGTGGCCTGTGGGGGCTTGATGCTAATGATAGTGCCAATGGTACTGGGAATGCTACTGGCAATACTAATGCTGATGCTAAAAGCAATGGTAATGCTAATGCTAATGGTCCATGGTACTGGTCATGGCCATTCACCCTTGACCTGTGGCAACGCTACCGGCATCATGCTAATGGGAATGGTGATGGTAATGCCATTCACCCTGTGACCTGTGGGAGCTTCACGCCATTCACCCTGTGACCTGTAGGAGCTTGATGCCATGCACCCTGCGACCTGTGCGAGCTTGATGCCCCACAGGTATTACTTCTGTGGGGGCGATACCACCAAAAAGGCAAATTCTTGTTTGGCGGGCCGACCCCCCCACAAGATCCGATGAACTAGCAAGACTACTAGTCACAACAGACAACGACCACCTACCAACAACCAACAACTAACCAAACCGGTGCCTTCGAAACTATCTGCAACAACAAGGTCTCGTCCTGAAAGTCTAGCGCACCTTTCAACATGCACTAAAACAATGGGTTCAAGAACACTGGAAAACACGCACCCGTACAAAGTCCTCTTCTGAAAAAACAAGAACTAAAGAGTTCAGGAGAAACTACTGCATAAATCTTGTGATGTGACCCGAAACTGAGTGGGATGTGACCCGAAGACCTCTTGCATCGGCCGGGACGACCTCGCCGGCGCTTCGCCAGGACGGGTTTTTCGGTGGCGAAGCATGAACGCAGCAGCTTGGCGGTCGATCTGGATGAACTTCTAGTTGATTGGTGGATTTGGACGATTCATGAATTGAATAGATTTCGAAGTGAATAGATGAATAGAAATTAAATAGCTGTTGACAGTGCCTTCCTCTCATGGTTTTCCTCACTTCATCCATTCAAGATTTCGATAAAATGACAAACACATCAACAAACATTGAGAAGCACACAATTACACCAGATTCTGGAACCGAAACAATGAAACCATCAGTCAAGCGGTATGTCGTAGGCAAGCACGAGAACGGGCTAACTGCAGCGGAGGTCGACAAGTTGACAAGCAAAAACCACGTGCAAAAGGATCAAGTTTAATTAAATTATATATATATGTAATAAACGAGCGCACTATCAGACCTGGTCATGGAGACCCGGCCCGGCCCTCTGCTCCACCCGCATGACCACCACACAGAGGAAAGAGAAGAATTAAACACCCTCTAGCAGTGCAAAAGTTTCGTGTGGTGCTAGGTCACGTGATCTGTCAACATGTCCAAATAGTGCTCTTAGCATTGCAGGAACCTTCTGAATCTGAACACCACTGGTTGATGATAGATTCGATTAGATGGAACAGTTGCACAAACAGTTGCACATCGAACACGCATACGGTTGCTAGAGCACAACACTGAAACATACAAGGAGTCGTCCAACTAACTTCCTGCTCTGGTCACCCGGAGCAAGGTTTCGCCCACTTCGGGCGGAGTCTTTGCACTGCCCCGGCCCCGGTGCCGAGGGACGCATTTGGGACCATGGAAGTGTGTAATGAGAACGTCGCTGCTCACCTCCCACCAGGGCTTCCAACTCCTCACGGGTCGGAAGTGATCCGGTGACCCGTTTGTCTGGTGCATCTGGACGTTGGGATCGGTGAAGCCCAAAGCAAAGATTCAACACCAAATGGATACCTCGATGATTTATTCCAGCAGTGGTGCTAAAATATCACACTACATAACATAACTCTATGTACTCAAGGCAAAAAATATCCCTTCCAAGCTCCCAAAGGATCTGCAGAACCTTTTCTCTCTGGAGCTTGGTTTGATGCTTGAGTCCTCTGACCCTATTCAAGTTCACTGTCAACTGAGGGTGTGGATTCTCGCACCTGGTGGGGTGGCCCTCAGTCGGCAAAAGCATCAGCCACCAGTGGGCGGGGTGCAATGGAGAACTGAAAGAGGTCAGGCGCGTCCGACATATACCCACCTGTGTGGTGGGGGGGGCAAACCTAAAGTGGTCCTCGAGCTTGTCTATGGCCGTCTTGGTGAAGGAGGGTCGTGTAGGTGAGCGGGGTGCCACAGAGACCGGCCCTTGCTCCTGAGGTTCCATCAAATCATCGGCAGGCGGGTCAGCGGCCGGAGCCAATTGAGTCATTAGCCGGCAGGGCATCTGCAGAAGCCACCTCTGGTGCCTCTCCCGTGGGCCAGAGGCACCAGGGGTGCGGCAGCCGAGGGGAGCCAAACTTCAAGTCCAACTGCAGGATGTAGGCCGCCCGCGCAGCAAGTTGTGCCCCCAGATCCAAGTTCTCCACCAAGGTGGGGGTCCCAAAGGCCTCGAGGGCGGCAGCCGCCGTGGGCAGACTCTTCATTGAGAGCGGCCATGTCTGGACTTGGCACGGTGTCCACTTCGAGGGTCTCACTCTCCCTGCGAAGCCCGATTCCATCGGCGAGGCCATTGCGTGCTGCATAGAAAGAAGTCGCTCGAGGGGGTCGCAGTTTCAAATCTTGAGCAGTGAACCGGCACTGCCTCTCTCTTGAGCCAAAATGTCCCCGTGGGACATTTTGGTGACTTTTGTGAACATAAAACTTGCAACCGCAAGCCAAATGCAAGTGTGAATAAATCACCACAATAGATCACAATAGTATACACCTTCGCAACTCTTCGCAAAGCTCATACCTTTCTTGGAGTCAGCTAAGGGCGATTCCCCACTGAGCTCCATGATTCGGAAACCACTTACAGCACGTGGGTGCCGGAGAGAGGACAAAGTGTGGAACCCATGACGCAATGAATCAGGTCTGTGGGTATCCCCTGAGGGGGCTGTGGGATGTTCAATGTGGTTTCCTGCTAGAAATCAGCCACAAAAGACCATGAACTTCCGTCACAGGAAGATCCGCTCCCTACTGTTTTTGGGATATCGATGTGCATTCCAAAAACTGCTGCCAAAGAAAGACCATTGGGCTCCCATCCCGCAGAAAACCTCTCTGCTAAAGCAGCTAAGCAACATGGCGAAGGGAAGAGACCCAGAAAGCAGCTTGCCTGCAGAAGGAACGAAGTGAGGTTCCTGGCTCTCAGAACCTCTAGCAGAGACCAAGACCGTCTCCATCCTCGAGCAGAGGTCAAGAATGACGAATGGATGTGCCCATAAAGCACGAATACATACGAATACTACCGGATTTCCAGCCATGAAATGAAAGAATGGATTAAATCTGATTCATTCAAGTTTCCGGGGATACCCGTCTTCTCTACCACTTTCGATCAGACCTGTCAGAACGCTGACATTGTCACCCCCCCCAACAGCTGGGCATCGAAATCCGCCTACTAGGCAATAGCATCGTCGCAAGTTCACCCAGAAGTGTCGTGTCTTTGCCAAACAATGCTGTCTACTAAGCTTCGCTGTTGGAAAAGCGAGGGGTACCGGCACTCGCTCGGCCGCCTTTGTTGCTGCGATAGAAGGCCTTGTAGTTGCAGGGATCGGAGGGCACCTGGTCACAATGCGTTCGTCCGCAGCCACCGCCCCCACTTCCGGTGGACGCCAAGAACCGGAAGGGGACGGTCTAAACAGATCCGACTGGTGGACCTATGGATGGAGAAAGCCGAAGAAGACATGATGTCTTGCTTGAAGGGATGCCTGCCATTTTTGAGCTACCAGATGCATATGTCAGAAACAAATGCACAAGCATTGGCCACAAAATGAAACAAAGCTATCATGCAGCAACAAACGCAAAACGCCGAGCTCCTCACATAATCCCATGCTTTCTTCCGGTTGAAGAGGAACTGAGTGAAGTTGACATAGGTCTTCTGCAAGTTTCCTGAAAACTTGGCACCCAGAGAGGGGGGCTGCTGCCAGATCTGTGGAGATGGGAGGAAACACCGTGGAGCAGAGGCCTCTCGCAAATACACTGCTCTTCAGAAATTATATATATACCCATTTACAGTATATAGGTTTTGTGAGTGGACCTATGTCCATTCCCAACTGTATAATGCAGCACTTGGTTGATTGTCGCAATATCCTCAAACCAGGGGAACGAAAACTATTTCCGGCAGCTCTTCATATCCAAAAATATCGATTCTGAACAGCCCTCCGGGGCCCTCCAGGGTCGGGTCAACTCATGGACAAAGGGTCGACTCATTCCACCTCTTGTACCACACAGCCAAATGACTTACGACTTCACTTCGGAGGAGCCTAGCCGCTGTTTCATTCGGCACCCCAAACACGCACAGCTATCGGCACTTGGCGACAAAGCCCCGAGGGGAAATGGCCTCAAAAACACCGGTCCTCAGAATAGCTCACTAGTCGCTAAGTGAGTCCAAAAGGGCTGGGTGAAGCATCCTAGAAACCCGAGGTTGACTACACTCAACCCCAGACACTCCTCCATGTATCGCCTGTTTGCCCATGTCGGGGTGATTTCAGAGGTCGTGAGCAAAAATTCTTACACGGAGTGTTTGGGAACGAAATCATCAAGGAAGCGACCAATCGCCCAAAAGATTCGAGAAGCGGCCCAAAACCGGCCGCTTTCTCGATGCATTTCTGCTAAGGTGCGCAGATTCATGAGCATCACGCCCGTGTCCTTAGCACCAAGAACTATGGCACCGGTTTTTCAATAGGAAGATCCTCCATCTCAGCTGGTCACGAAGAGATCCTAGTACCACCACATCGAAGCTTGAGACGTCTCAGGTTCCGTATCTCTTCCCCTTGACGGAACCGAGGTGTTGCCCCGCACTGAAACAGAAGGTCAGCCCCTGAGTGAAAGAACACAGCAACAAAAACTGTCGTCAACAGCAACCGAGACGAGGAAGTGGAGCCACATAGAATCCCCATCCGGTGCCGGTCTAGATCAACTCGGCTCTTCTGCCCCTGCAATGGTCCAAGGCGAGTCCAAGGACCAAACGAACCTCTCGAAATCATGTTTCACCACCTGGACCACGTTGCCCACCCACCAGGTTCGAGAAACCACCTCGCCTGTGGCAGGCAGCCTCGCCGGGACGAATGTTCATGCCTGGTTTTGAATATTATTCCCACCAATTTCCACCGAAACACCACACTGCTGTCTTCCTTCCCGACCTCCAAAGAAGTCCTCACCGGTCCAGCGACGGTCTTCTCCACATTGTAGCTCTGGATGAGTTCCGTAGCCATGCTGAAGAACTCCGGTATGCCGCCACTGGGGTGAGTGAAGGTACCGTACTCCGTACTGTGCGCCAAGGCATGCAAGGCCTCCTGCCACGGTGTCGGTGTTTTGGATGGTGTCCAAAACGGACCTGGTGTTGTTTTACACCGAGGGCATCTTTTGGAAGGTCACAGACCAGTGCTATCTCGCTTTGAATGCGGATCGACGTCCACGGGAGGGAAGGGCTTGGGGAACTCCCGGTGGTCGATCCGAAGGGCTCCGCCGGGCTCGCTCCGCCGGGCTCGCTCCGCGAGTGGTTCGACCGCACCGTTTCAGGTTCGCACCGCACCGTTTCAGCGCACCGTTTCGGCAGCTCTAACGGTTTCGACCCCACCGTTTCAGCGCTTCCCAACCTGATCTCGGTCACCATGCTCCGTCAGTCCCAGGATCTTCGGCCACTCAAGCCGCTCGTGGAAGAGAATGTCCACATCGGTGTAGAGCACCAAGGGGTCCAGGATCCCTACCACTGGAACCTGAAAAATGCCCCACTTCTGGTGAGAATCTGGTGACTTTTCTCCGGGTGAAATTCTCGTTTTTTTTCGAAGCCGAAGGAAGCCCAGGCGCATTCAAATAGGTTTTGATGCAAAATGAACTCCACAAAACATCGCCAGATCATTCGAAAGCAACCGACAACCAACAGAAAAGCTTTCCAAGTTGGGAGCAGTTGGCATCCAAGCGCATGCATGCGCCCTTCAAATCGTCGAACTCGGGAAACGTGAATTTCCACTTCCGCTCCGACTTGCTCTTCCTCGCCATGCAGCGGGTTGCAGCCATGCTGGACAACATTCCCTGCGTACAGCATCCTTTTCAACATTCCTCCATGAATAAAAAAAGCTCCCCTGTCAGCCAGCCGACTCAACAAGTTCAACAAAGAAGAGAACCAGAGTGAAACACCCGTGCTTCAACAGGACTTTGGTTTCACTTCCCAGATGTTCACAGGCTTGGAGGTTCCCTCCTCGCATGTGTAAGGGAGCAAATTCGTGATGGGGATGGGCCAACTCAACCTAGCCACCTCTTGAGTGGATACATTGATCATCCATGCTGGATCGAATAGGAAGAGGAATGTAATCCTCTAAAGTCTCAAGGTGTATTGCTTTCTCGTGCTCTGGAACAGGCTGTTTCGGCTGGATGAGGCCAATGAAGGATGAAGCCTGCTCTATAGTAGGGGTTAGCAGCTTAGCATAGACGCAGAAAATAGTGGACATCACCCCTCGGTATCCACCTCGTTTGAAAGCACTTGTGAATCCTTCAGTGCAAGCTGAAGTTTTCCCTGGGCACCGTGAAACGTGAAACACGGACCCATGCGCCGGCGCGCAAGTGAAAGGACTCGGACCAGCGAGAAAGACATCGGCCGAAGCGCGTTGGAATGGGAGAATAAGGGATCGAAAACATGAGAGATCGTCCAAGGCAGCAGAATCACCTCGAAAATCGATCCAAGTGATGCCCGACATCCCATTGAAACCGTTTTTCAAGTGAATGACTATTTTCCAACGAGATGACAGCTCCCATGTCACCTATGACATGGCCACTTTTTGCGACATGGGGAGAAAACAGGGAGAACAGTGTGGTTTCCCTGGAAAACATGGAGACTGGCGACTGGAGTGTTGAATACTGTAACTTGCTTCACCGTGACCTGTGACCTACCCCAATCTCCGGACGTGATGTTCGTACCCCCTGGCACCACGCGTGGTGCCACTGTCATGTGCGGAGCCAAGTGTCCATTGCCTCCACACAGCAGAAGCAGTGTCTGCCCAAGAAGGCAAATGATGCAAGACCCGCACACCCAACCTGAGCGACAAAAGCCGAGGATGGGCATAATCTCGACGAGATCAACGACACGAGATCCATGGTTAAATGGTTTGTTCAAAATCTTGATGGTCAAATTTCTATATATCAAAAGGTTTGTTCAAAATTGTCTATAGCATGTGGATATGGGGGTGCCCCAAGCAGGCTTGGCCAAAGCAACCCTATGCCCTTCGACAGCACTTAACATTGCAGACGATGGACACCCCTCATGATTTGTCTCCCAGCATTTCATTCAATTCAAGGACTTCAGTCAGTTGTGTCTTCCACAGGAAAATGTTTGGCCATTGTTGCAGCCACACCTAATATTGATGTTAAAGCAAGGAATCCAATAGTCTGCAAAGCCAATAATCTAGAAGAGATTCTTGACTCTTAGCATTCTGCACCGCCCGCAAACAACCCAACCTCTCTTTTGCCATTAAGTTGTCCACCCCTCCGGAAAGCATTTGGACATTGAATCTTTTTTCCAGTGTCACGGGTCATGGCACGTGGGCGTGTTGTGCTTTGAAAGCTACACGCTATTCCCAAGAAACCTCCTCTCCGGCCATCTCACTTCAATGTTCCAAAACCCGAGGAAAATATGCTCATTGCGCGAGAGTGTGTGAAAAGGCAAACATTTCAGGGGCCTCAAATTCTGATGTCGATGGCAAAAGAGGTTGAAGAAAAAACTTAGAATGTGGCTTTTGTTGGAGATCTTCTCTTTCAGCTGTGGTCAGCCTGAAATAGATGAATGTGGAATATTTCAAATTAGGAATCTTGCACATGTTATCTAACCAAAGGTGTTGACGGTTGACCATATCTTTCCGAACAGCAAGATGTAGTCAATATAGTCAACACCTGTCCGTTTCAAACTGTGAAAGGTGATGTGCACAGCCCTTAAGGTGCACGCGTCATGCCACAAGATGTAGTCCTGAAGTGACTATGCTCGCTGGTATGGGTGGGCAGAGGTTCACGGACCGCACAAACCAATAGATAGGGTCAGCGCTGTGTTGCAAAATCCGGACTTGGAAGGATCTGGAGCTCCCAACTTGAAGTCAAGGGGGATTCGGATCGAGGGAAAGGTACATCTAGAAGTGCGTGGCTTCATCTACTATCATCTATCATCTATATCTTGGGTCAATCCTATTACCTGTAACAGCGGATGATACTGGTGAGTAAAAAGGCCTTGTTCAAAAATGATGATAATTGTTTACTGACTGTTACAGGTAATAGGACAGACCCTATCTATATCTATATATTTGTCCAATCTAATCTATACAATCTAATCTAGCGTACTACGATTGCAGACCAAAAGCAAAGCAAGCAGCAAGTGGTGCTTCCTCGAAAACTCATACTAGTAAATGGAAAATACAGCAAGTCTCGAGCCAGGTCGTGCTTTTGCCGTAAACATGGCTCCGACACCAAAAAGAAACATCCACCCAACCAGTACCACCCGTCCAGTGATCAATAGCTGAAAAAACGGTCCATCTTCACCCCATCTTCAGCACCGGTCGAGTGTCTGGATCAATGCTTTCACCATCACACTCTCTGGCTCTGCGTCAGTGAGGCACACCGGAACCACAGCATCCCCATGGACCGCCGAACTTCCTCGAGGCGTCGCCCGGCCGGCCAGGGCAGACCGATCGAAGCCTACGAAGCCGGTCCTCTCGTTGGAGGTGGTTGCCGAAGCTCAAAAGGACCTCTAAGATGTGACAGTGACAGCTCCAAAAGAGACTTCCCCACAGTTTTTGGTGGACCTGGTACAAAGAGTACTGAACAAAATGAGCACCTCATATCTGATATCTATGTACAGTAAATATTAGAAACTCTGAGGTAATAGCATCCTGCATTCGCCTCTTGCTCCTCGTGGACAGTGCACAACTTATGTGCTTCTATTGGTCTCATTCTTCTACATGTGGACAGCGAGCGGCCTCCAATTCAACTACGCAGGTTATTGACTTGCGCTAAACATGCCGATTGGTGACGTTTCATGACGTTTCTCCAATTCAACTGTGCGTGTTTGACACATGTTCGGTCTGTCATCGTCTTCACAACAGCGTCCGTACCAAAACCTTGAAGAAACATCACACAAAAAATTGCACCTGTCAGGACAAGGTGAGGACATGATCTACACATGATATACCGGCGTTGAGCGCAAGACGACGGGCGCACCGCACGGCCTGGGTTCGCACGGCCCGTGCGTACGGACGCAGCCGGACAGAGCGAAGCAATCTTCTCGACCGCAAGACCTTCCCTCACTATGTAATCACTAGTTTCGAGTGATTGTCCATTCACTCGATATAAATTAAATATGGATATTATACGATACTATATTATGTAAGGCAACTATCTTTTTAGTGGTGATTGTTGTAGCGCCTGTGCAGCCCAGAACATCTGAGGGTATCACAGATGTGTTATTGCCATAATATTCCTCTGTTTTAACTGCCACTAACCAAACACGTCTCGCTCGTGCCAGCTGCTGTTGTGCGACAAAGGTGTCGACCACCGACGGCTCGCAAAGTTGCCCCGCTTGTGTGCAAGTCGTGACATGTACACCTCCCCGGTGGAGGCAATGGCTATTAGGTTAGAGGCCATCGCTATTAAGTTAGAGGCAGAAGTTAGCAGAAGGTTCAAGTACTCCAGTTGTGCAAGATTTATCCCAAGCTTGGATGGCTGCCGTGGCTCGTATTCCACCACGAGGCTGGAGGTCATGACACACTCGGAGTCAAACTGAAGACTGAGATGCCCCTCATACACCGCTCACCAGCCATTCTTTACTTGCATCCTATTGTCTTTTGCATGGCCACGACAAAACTGGATGGACCATCGTGGCATCAAGGGGGCATCTCTTACTTGCTGGTGCACTGGCCCGCGATCGTTTCTCAAGGTGTTGTATGTTGAATGACCACACAAAAGTAAATTGCTCATTCCAATGTGGGGGTCAGGGTGTATTTTAATAGGGCAACCCGCCACCAATGGGTACTGATAGGGAAACAGCTCATTCCAATATTCTGTCTTTTGATCATTATGTTGTCCTATTTCTTTCACCCCCCACCGACCAAAACCTTTCAAACGCTCCATCGTGCTTTCGGGGCTCTGACTGCAGCCAGGCTCATGTTCCAGGCGGAGGAAATCTTGGCACGTGCGGCAAGGGAAAACCTCAGAAGGCGAAGAAATCCCTCGGGGGCATATGACTCATATGAGACTCATATGACCACCATGTCAACCACTCCATAGCTGCATCAGGCCTATCATTCCCAGTTCTTCTTCACGATGGTCTCGTGGTTTCTTCGTCCCGACCGAGTCCGGTCGGATCGAAAGACCAGGGACTGCGGGCGCCAGGGACCGAACCTGGGCGAGTTCCGATGACCTGGGTGCCTGTACCACGAAGCGTCCGGTGCACAGAAGTGGTCTCTAGCTACTAATAGATGCTTGTTACTAGTAGTAACAGCCTCCAACCTACTAGCGATGGCCTCCAATCCAATAGCTTCTAGCTACTAGTAGCTTCTTGTTACTAGCAGTAATGGCCTCCAACCTCCTCCCAACGATCGTCTTTGGAGAAAAAATTTCAGGCTTCCAAGCGGCACCCATTTGATTGGGTATCGAAAAACGGGCAGAGTTGTAGACTTCTTTGGTCTCAAAATCTCTTGAAATTCCAGAAGCGTCGTTCCTCCATCCTTGGCAAAACGGTTCATGAAATCTGACAAGAGGAAAGTCCTAACACACATCTGGGAAGTGCTTGATATATGTTCTATTCAAAGAGGGAGTTTCTCATTGCACTGGTCCTTTCTCGAGGGGTCAGTGCTTCAAAGGCTGACCACAATTCAATGAAGATTTGAGTGGGAAGAAGCTGGATGGCACATAACATGGTACATTGTGGAGAGGGTCCTATGGCAGAGGATATCAACTGTGGACTTATATAATTCGTTTGCACAAGCACTCCCAAAGGTGATCCTTATACCTTATACCCATATATACTTTCATGTCACCCTATTCTCTGAACAACTGTCACCTTCTCTCGGTCACCGTCCTCACCAAGATCCACCATCCTCGCGCTTCTTTCGACCTGACCGGTGGTCGTCACTGCGTCCCCTCCAAGCGTCGTAGTGAAAGGCGGGACGGCCCAGCTGGAGACGGGTCAAGGTCGCCAAGGAGGAGGAGATAGATCCCGAGGGCCCGGAGAACCTGCGGCGGGAGACAAGACGTGAAAGCTTGGGGTCTCCCCCTGGGAGCCAGGAAGCCACGTCTGAGAGACAATCCATCCATGTCATGTGTCAATTGGAAGCATTTTCCGCAATGGAGAGGAAATCAAACAATAGCCATCCAAAGACAACCTAGTGCAGATGATGGAGCTGTTGCATGTTGGTACAAGTGATCCAGTTGTGTGGAGTTAGGTTCTGTTGCATGGTCAAAAAGCATGTGGGTGGGTCATAGTTATCTACTCACACATAAATGGCACCAGCTGTCATCTGCACTGCCATCGGCTCATCACTTGCTCATACTCAAAATTACGGATAGGACTCCCAGGTCATGCAAAAGCCAAGCATTTCTTTCAAGGAGCAAGGACTGTTGGAGGCGATTGAATGAGTCACCATGCAAGACCCGACAACCTTCAAGAATGACCGACATGATCCGATCTGGAGATCAGCCCGGACAGGAGCCAAAGACATCCCAAACTCAAAGTTGAGACTTGACACCGGTCTGGATTCATGTATTCTATAATTATTATGGATGGCAAGTGGTACAAACGCATCTGCATAGATTGAAGCCAGCCAAAAGGTCAATTTTTAGTAGGTGATTAGCGACTGCCAACAGCAAGACATTGAAAGCCGAAAGCCGAATCCAAACCAAGAGAATGAGAAAGGCAAAGGCATCGGAAGGGGGCCAAGGAATACAATTGCTCCCGATTGAAGCCAATAAAATGCCAGAAGAAGATAAGAAGGGAAACAGAATGCCAAAAATGAAAACCGAAGACCCGAATCCCAAATCCAAGATTGCCTTCGTGTAGACATCACCAGAGATGTGCACAGTGACAACCCTAAATGAAACCCAACTTAAGGTGGAGTCGTGATTGCCAATGTGGGTTCACTTTTATATTTCTGTACAACAATGAAATATGGAAGGCTAAGTTGAGCTAATTGAAGACGCTCAGCCTGTGCTGATTTACGATGTGAATGTTTGTTGAACCCGCTTGAACATTATTTTGTTTTAGTTATGTTTACTGTAGTTTAAAGTTTAGATGTACTTACAGTACTCCCCCAGGCTAGTAAGCGGCCCTCCAGTTCACCACTGGCTTGCTACCAAAAGAAAGGTCTCATATCTTCGGGCTCCATTCATGTCCACTGTAATGCCTGTTTCTATCCGTTCATTGATCAAACGCTCACTCGTTTCCCAAAGGTGTGTGCACACAGGCTGGAGCTAAGCTCCAGCGCTTGTGGTACCCTCCGACACCTCCGTCTCGCCCCAGGCACATGCTGGCGTGCTTGGCCAGGATGAAGTCGATCGCCTCCACAAGCTCCTCCGCACGCGAGGCGACGCGGAGCTCCAGCATCTGCTTGGTGACCACCTTGGGCCGTGCCGGACGGTCGAAACGGCGCTCGCAGGACTGGGCCGGTGCGGTGGAGGTGAGGATGCACGAAGTCCTCAAAGGTAGGACTTCTTGAGCCAACGCTCTTGGATGGACATTGAAAGAAAAGAACGACCTTTTACAGGCTCTTCCACGAGTGTCTTGGGGGAAGTAGAGGGTAAGAACACCGAGTTTGACCCTTGGAAGAGAGCCAAACTGAAATTGATCACTCCTTTTCCCTAGAAAAGAAGCGACTTGAGGGTTTGCACTTTCCACCAAGTCAATCGCAACGCAAGATTATCTTGTGCCAGGCTTCTGTATAGACCTTGTCCAGCACCAGCCTGTGCCATCTGATGTTCACGTGTTTGGAGGCTTCTGAGCATTCGAGTGAAGGCCAGATTCATGCGCCTAATTCTCGATAAATTCAGCTCCTCTGGAAAGATGTTCCTTTACCCACTAGGTCTGGCGTGTAAACCCCTCTTCAATTATTGAGCGGCCTGAACTTTGGCGTCATTCCGGGTGTTCATTGCGGATGAATCGTTCAAGGCTTGTGGGTGCAGTGACTCGAGTCACTCATGGCCCCCGCACTCTCCTCACGTTCGGTGCCTCCTGGCTGAGGCCGAGGACAACAGCGCGGCCCCGGTCACGTAGATCGGCATGAAGGGCGAGACACCCTCGGAGAGCAGCACATTGCCTGTCAGATGAGAGGAACGACCTTTCGGTCAAGAGTGCATCGCTTGACCGAAACAGCTGTGGAAGATCCTTGCTTGACCGAAGAATCACGAGGTCCCTTAAAATGGAGGTCATAGAGGTCTTACAAAGGCCACGACCTACGAGAAGAGGGTCACTAAGAAGGTTCTTCTAATGGATCGTTGCATGCATCGATCGCAAGCAAAGGAGTCGATTCATCACTGGCATGTGTACGTGTTTCGTCGGCGCAATGCCATGTTACTGTACGTAATGTTTGGGCAAATGGTAAATCGGATTCGAAACCTAAGGCTGATCTGTTTATATATATATATATATATCCGCAATCCCTGAAGTCTCGAAAATCTTCTGGAAAACTGGGCGGGAATATCTCAGTATGAAAAAGCTCCTCTCTACCCTCAGAACTGCAGGTTGCTACTTTGTCACCTCTACCTTCCCAAGGCACCTACGTCAACGCAGGGCTCTGAGCACTCCTCGTTCGTCAACTCCAACATGCCAAAGCTCACCTCCTGGGACGCCAACACGAAACAAAGAATGGGCCCCCGATGGCCCCGATGGTGAGAAGCAGCTAGTGGTCACTGCGCAGCACTTATCAACATCCCTAAACCACTCCAACCCCAGAGAAACCCCCAGATGCTGCATTTCTGGTAGCAGGAAGAAGTTCTCCTGCTTTGGTACACACTCTACTTCATGATCGACTCAATATCAGCTTGGCACCAAAGTCCTCCACTTCACAACTTCAACCAAAAGTTTGCACTGGAACTTCTACAGTCTTGAAATGGTTTGACCATCTACAAAAACAAAAAAATCTGAAGAATCCGAGGCATACATCCGCGTATCAGCCAATGGCAACATCGCAAGTTCACTAACAAGCGCTGTGTCTGAGCCAGACCACGCTGCTTGGAATTTCAATGTGCCACGCCAGCACAACGCAGCACATTGGCTACGCACCGACACATGTGCCCACATCAAGCATGACAACGCCCTAACAGGCACAACACGTCAGCATATCCGCGTGACATGACAACACCTGGCATACATTAGAATGTCGAGATGGCAGCACACACCATAAGACCATAAGAGTGTGGCAGCCTGACGGCATATATAACAACATGCTGATGACATGTCAGCATTGCGCCACGACAATGACAGCATATCAACATAGGTGCAAAATTGCCACGAAGCTTGCTCCGGAACCTGCCTCCTCCGGAACCTGCTCTGGTATTTTCCGGAACCTCTGTTCCAGAACCTCTGATCTCCGTAAGATTCGCTGCTCGGGAACTAATATATTGGTGACGCTAAGTGGGGTGAAAGGATGCCAGAGCTGCACTGACCCTGGCCCCAGTTCCAAACACTCTCTTAGGCGACCCACACCGCTGAGGCCTCGGTATTTTGGTAGCCCAATAACTTGGACTTCTTCTCCGCTTGGAGGGCATAGCCCTTGAAGATGTTCCTGCCAACGCCAGCAGCCACGTCTGACAAATCAGCCCGCTAATCTGGAAGAAATTAATGCTGATTCAGCCGGATGATCCAATGACCCTCAAGAACCAAAAAGAATTCCTTGATCTTCACGCGCTGGTGCAAAAAACTAACCTCAAGGAGAGCTGATGGCCTCCCCGACTTGACAAACTCAGTTCCAACGTCTCTCCTCTTCGTGGCTTCCACAATCTCATAAATATTCTCCGCAGGGACCAACGCGTCCGAGATCTCCCAGAAGAACCTGACAGGCAAGAAATTCCCCACTTTGACAGCAAATACAAACATGACTAGAAGGATGACGTTATCTCTAAAGGCCGAAGCCAACAGGTGATCAACCTCACAATTGATTGGGCCTGCACAATCTTCCAGTTTTAAGCATCTCCTTGACTAGGTTTTGTCTTGGGTATCCGGATACAGGCTCTTCGGTGTCAAAGCCCGAGAGCGCAGCTGTGCGCAGCTGTGCAGGAACAGGTCTGTCCGCCCTCCCAAGCGGCCTAAAAGCACTATCTGGCTCGCTGATATTGACCTGCCCGTCTCATCAGGTGGTGCATGCATGGGACAGTGGGGAACTCGTCAACTGGTGCTGAAGAACAATCAAGGTTGTGAGAAAATATCTCTAACCAAGCACCGTGTGATATCTCTTAAATATACAACTATAGTAGTTGATTAATGGTTCCCTCATTTTCTGAGCATATCTGGGTCGACTTCTTCAGATCGTTGCCATGGGTCGAAGCATCCAATATGGAAGTCACATTGACTAGTCTACAATCGACGATCGTCGTTCACTGAATTCAAAACTCATGTGCCTGTCCATTCACATCATCTGTCTCGCTGCCAGGGGCCAGGCCCCCCCAAAAAACTGTGGCCTTTTCAAGCCCAAAAGAGGCTAAATCCACCTCTTTACGAACGGGCCCCGAAGATTGTCCAACTTCTAGCAGTCCTGCTGATAGAAGTTGCAGTCAACCTTCAGGAGCATGGCACTGCTGGTCTTCAGCGTTCCATCCTGTGAGCGGCGGAGAGGACCGGTGTTTTCCAGTGGAGGAGATCTTCCGCAATCCGCACGAATCCACACGGCGCAATCTCCGAAGTTCGGGAGGTGTGGTCTTTCCGCCGCACACACTCCACATCACTCCACCACCGCCACAAATATGACAAATCCCTGTTGCTCCAAACATGGTCGGTCCCAAGACGACCGGCACGGCACGGCCCCGGCGTGGGATCTCCTCCGGCAGCCCCTTGGGCAAAAGCCTCCTCCACAACTCCTCACCCAGTCCTTAGAGGAAAAAGGTCAACCAGTCTGGGCACTCCAGAATCCACGAATGCAGGCTGATTTGGCAACGAGCAACGACCCCAGCACACAAGGCGAAGGCAACCAGGGACGACTGAACCTGGGTCTAAAGTGTTAGTTTTATTCAGCTCCAGCTCGCCCCCAGTCACACTCCTGTGTGCGGAGTGCGAAACTGTTCATCAACTGGAAGACAATAATTTGGATGAACATCTGTATTGTTGCACATGCAAGTCCAATGCCGGGAACAGAACATCTGGCAAATCATTCCACAACTTCTACCTGCTACCTTCGTACAAAACCCAAACTCTTAATCCAAAAAAAAGCGTCAGACCCATCGACCACTTCCAAAATAGGTGCTCAATTTCATTTCCCACACCAAACGGCCGAATCAGCTCGCCCAAGCGTCTCGGCAAGTCTGCGGCCGTTCGGTCCTTTGGCAGCGCCATCTTCGCCCAGGGGGCCTGCGGCGCCTCACCGGGGGTTGGTGTCATGTTTAGAATTTAGCTGTGGCTATGCAAATATAGGATGCTAGTCCATCCCGCAAATAGAAAGACCGACAAAGACCTGAGGGCTTTTTGGGCCACCTCCGTTTAGAGGACGATTGATGGCTTTTGGCCTTCTGAACCATTTATAGTTTTTGGTGGTTTCAGAATTTATGCATATATACAGTGTATGTATAATATGTAAGTATGCATATTGTTAACTTGCCCTACCTTCCCTTGTGCTGTCGGCAGTTTTGCCAGTAATTACTTCTGAAGTCCACTGTGGCCTAATGAAAACTGTGACCAATTAACAAGCCCTGTGGCCACTAAGCGCAAACTGAAACTGCGGTCTTTGTCGATGTCACACTTAGTTAATCTGGCAGGGCAGCTCCTGCCTTGTTTTCAGCTTCTAACTCCTCCACCACCTCACGCGTCAAAACGCCAGGAAGCCAGTCTTGTCCACACCAGACGGAATGAGCTGTCCAGTTCCTGTCAGGCAAAGACTCGTGGCATCGCTTCCATTGACTCGCCCAGTCAGACTGGCAGTGCTTTCACCGGCACCCCACGGGTGGCCCGATTTGCAAGTTGTGAAGAGCATCCTGTAGAATTTCACAGGTCAGGGTTTATAGCCAAAGTTTTGCTTGAAAAAGATTTATAAGTTTTTTGAAAAGACACCAAAAAAACAAAACCTACAATCCCGCAGAAAGATACCAGCAAGGTGAATCCAGAAGTTTGGACTCAGGAAACATTGTACAAATACTAGGAACTTGCAGGAAAATGCAAACATACATACCAATCAAGCAAACCCTGGGCTCAACAAACTGCGCATGGCGCACGGCCATCTGTGAGTCTGTGTGAGCCAGCTTGTCTCTTTTTTCTCCTGTGACTAGCGACTTCTGCCTTCAGTCTATCATCAGCTCCGTGGCTTTGTTGGGTGACAAACGCTTCGCTCAAGCATCTTGCCCTACACCACGCAAACAACAAAGGTTTGAAAGGCAAGGCCTTTCACTTGGAGGCTGAAGTATTTTGCTTCTTGCCATTGCAAAACATCGGCTATCATTCCAAAAAAAGCTATAGTTAAAAACAAGGAACCATAACTGGCAGCGCTGGCTACAAACAAGATTGTAATTCCAAAGCAAAAGCTAGTATATATTCCGATTCTAAAAAAGTAATTCTAAAAGAACCATGCCTGGCAGCGCTGGCTACCAAAAAGTTATGATTCCAAAAAAAGTTATAGTTTAAAAAAACAAGAACCATAACTCGCTGCACTGGCTACCAAAAAGTTATGATTCCAAAAAAAGTTGTAGTTCCAAAAAAAGAACCATAACTCTCTGCACTGGCTACCAAAAAGTTATGATTCCAAAAAATAGTTATAGTTCCAAAAAAAAGGAACCATAACTTATGATTCTTTTTTCAAAAAAGAATCATAGCCAAAAACTATCAAAAACCTTTCAAAATCAAAGGTGTTTGCTAGTTTGGGGCTCTGTAAATCTAGGTTTTTCACTAAAACACATAGCTCAAAACTAGCAAACACAATTGATTTTGAAGGCTTTTTGTTAGATTTAGGCTATGCATCTGTTTGGAAAAACAGAATCATAAGTTATGGTTCCTTTTTCTTTTTGGAAATATAACTTTTTTTGGAATCATAACTTTTTTGCTTGGAATATTTTGGAATCATAACTTTTTGGTAGCCAGTGCAGCCAGTTATGATTCTTTTTTTTTGGAACTATAACTTTTTTGGGAATCATAACTTTTTGGCAGCCAGTGCTGCCAGTTATGGTTCTTTTTTTGAACTATAACACTGTTTTGGAATCAAAACTTTTAGGTGGGCTGTGTCACCAGTTATGATTCTTTTTTGGGGAAACTATAGCATGTTTAAGAATCATAACTTTTGGGTGGGCACTGTCCGCAGTTATGATTCCTTTGTGTGGAAAGCAAGGGCGATTGACAGAATCTTGACTAGACATAAATCTGTGGATGTTCGTCAGATTCACACACTTGATGTTTGGATAGTGGTTGGCTCGGCGCGGTTGGCATCCCTTTTTATATTGAACCTGGTGGCAGCATGACATGTGCGTTCACACACATAATGTGTGTGTGTGTGTTTGTTTGTGTGTCTTTGTGGTTATCTTAAAACTTAAACCTGTCGCATACATTCTTAATTTTGGCCTACTTGTCAAACTGAGATTGGCCGTTAATAAAGTGGAGCCATATGGAAGCTCTGGAAGCACCATGCACCCTGCGACATAAAACCAAGACACGAGGATTGCACTGAAGCAGGAATTGGGATTGATTATGGTTTTTGTTTTAAGTTCAACCATCTTTAAAATTATGATTCTTTTTGAACTGAACCGCCTTGACTTGCGAAATTTGCTAGAGCATCCTCTCTAGATACAGCGTCTGTGCCAGGCCTCCTGACACACCAGTATCTGGTATAGGCCACAGGCACCAAGTGCAACAGGATTTCAGTGTCAAATAGCTCGCCTGGCTCGTCAGCAGCGGCCTGTTCACCCTAGATAGATCTGGTCTATTTGCAGAAAAACTCATAGCATCAGCAGAAGCGACGCCCCATGGACCCTGATCAAGCAAAAAAAGGAACACCTCGCGCCGCCGTGGTCCGGGTCTCATCCCCTCACTAGTCACAAGGAAAATGGACTCCGGTCCTGACCAAAACCTGGTGGAAAACTGCCAACCTCGGCCTGACTCGGCCCGAGATGTCCAAGTGGCCGAATGTCACACGTCCACTAGCCATCTGGGACGGCAAAACCACCTGGCGATTGGGGCGGGACACAAAGGGCTTAATGCGATCGGACACGAAGGGTGCTTAAAGTGATGCTCCACTAATTTCTATGTCGACGATCACCTCGAAATCCCAGTCCCAACATCACAACCCCGCCACACAACACCATCGCACAACCCTCCTTTTCCTTCAGGTGACCTTATCGTTCCCAAGTTGCCCAAAAGAAAGGATTGGACCCCAACCCTGCGGATGTCTCCCTATTTGCACCCGCAGAACGACCCCGGAGTTCCATGCCACTCCCCACCTGAGCACCCAGCAGAAGCCCAGCCAACAAAGCACTGGTCAGCTGGAGTCGCTGCTCTGCAAAGTTCCCGCACAGCGACAGCTCCAAGCGCAACGGCGCCAGCCTCGAACCACCCGCCACCGCCACAAAACCATGGCGGGAGTTAAGCCTTTTGAACTCCAGATTCCATCCAATTTCACCCTCCGTACCCGCACCGCGCCAAACCGGTCCAGGAAACCGATCGGCTCGTTTCACCCGCGCAGCATCTTCCTCCAGCGTCACCGGTGGCTCCGGCTCCGGCACTGGCGTCGTCCGCTCGGTCGGCCGCGGCCGCGGCGGCGGCGCAGCAATGGCGCTTTTCGCCGGGGTCGTCGGGGCGGTGGTCGGGGCCTAGCAGGATCGGTCTGAGGAATTGGAGCCGATTCGAACGGAACACGCTGTTGCTGATGGAAAACCCAGATTCGGGTCTTGGTGGTTGGAAACATCCTGAATCGCCCACCAAGATCTTGGGATCCCCAGTCACGTGCCCATGGAGGTCCCTGCTCCGCCTTGGCATGGGGTGCACGATACCTCAGCCGGCCGCCCAAACTCCAGCCCCGAGGGAAACGAGTCCAAGAAATCATTGACTTTTGGTTCAACTGTCTTAGCATCTCTAACTCCCCGTCAGTTTACATGGCTGTGGGTCAGTTCAAGAAGTCTTACCCCAGTCAAATGAACAAGAAAATCCAAAGCTAAAGAAATGCTGCCAAACCATGCAGCTGGGGTGTCCGCTGTCAAGTCCAGTCCTAGGTGCACAAGAGTGATGAAGAGGAAGCCCGCCACCGCACACGCCAGCAACGCTTGAACCAGGCCTGGCGAAGAATGTCTCATGGGTGCCCCCAACCCCTCCAAGGGTTTTTCCATCACTTTCACGATATATTGCAGGAAATCCGCTCTCTATGAGTTTTGTAGCTACAGGTCCCCAAAAAGGTACCCAGAAAATGCCAACCGCACAACCCTGGAACTGTTTCAGCCCTTATGCAAAAAGAGACGGCCGAGCCTCGCCAGTGAGCAAACTGGAGGTAAAACACATGTGATGTCCGCTTCCGGTGATCATCTGATGCCATCAGCACCAGAGAGTAGCAGCAACTTCCACATCCCTTTACCAATGGTGAGAAAAGGAGGAAACGTACAGAGAGAAGGAAACAGGAAAAAGGGAATTGCACAAATTGAGCCAAAAACAAAGTGTGACTTGATCTGATTCCTTTCGTGTCTTGCAAACCGATGTCCCTTGCATTGCCCAAAACAATGATTACTGTCAAATAACTGATGGTTTTGGTTGGATGTAGTTTTGCGCTGTTTACAGAGCAATGGACCACTGGTACGAGCATGAGAGCCAGAAGAATCTCTCAAAACAAACACCATAAACATCGAAGCCTTCACCATCACTTCCCTCCTTGTCATGAAACTGCCTCAAGACATACACACAGGCATCATTCGGCCACAAGGCACAAATGGTGAAAAACCGTCCATGGCAAAATTGAAAATTCGCGAGCACTGTTAGGTTCATTTCTCATGCGTCCCACTCCTTCCACCCAAGTAGTTGAGTAACCAAGGATGACAAGAAGTGTTCCTCGACTTTTGACTTTATCAAGTTCAACCTGTAATGTGTGCAAAGCGTCACTCACATCTTTTGCTTCACGCTGTCCGGTGCAAGGGCACATGTCATGCTAGATTCTAGATGGGAATCCACATCCTACTCGATCTATCAAGCACCAATGACAGGCCTGGAAATTTGAGGATCCAGCAGCGAGGTAGCGGACACCAATCATTCCAGCCGATCGATCTGCTCGTATGGTTCACTTGTCTCACCCGGCTTTTGTTGTCTGACTGAGGTTTCTTCCCTCTTGTGTAGTTTCAGACTTTTCACCATCTCATGTACTTTTTGCGCATTTGGCTCCGACCTTGCAACGCGCAGCGATAGTTAAAAACACAAATTGTCGGATGTAATGTTTTTTGTTCATGGAAGATAAACACGGCCAGCCTCTGGTTGTCACTACTTGGAGGTCTTCTACTTACTTCTGAGAGCCAGGCTGTAGGGTAGTCTGTCTCACCATCATGTTTCACCCTTCTTGTGTCACCCTTCTTGATCTACCTCCTTCCCGATGCGAGGCTAGACCTCAGAGCACGCCCCAAGGGTTGAAAAAACATGTTTGTTTCGGGGACGTGCGGCGTTTGGCCCAGAAAAGCGACCAACGCAGGTTTTTTCCCCACCAAGTTGTGGCAGTCTTCAGTGTTATGTTGATGCCCACCTTGTTGCGGAAGAGCTCACAAAAACCAGACGGGTCGTAATGGGTTCAAAACGACCACGTTGTTGCGGACAGTTCGATTCGCCTCGTTGGTGGAGATCCGTGGCCGGGTCCCCTTGAGGATTCGGTTCTGCAACATCAGCGGTGACAGGGTCCTGCATAGTAGATTGGTTTTGCGCGGGACCTTCATCCGGCATGGCTGGATCTGTTGGAGCAGTCTGCAGCAATTCTGCTTCAACCTCAGTTTCCAGAAGCCTGGGAGTCATCTTGACATCTGGCAAAGATAGGCTGGTCGCCACTGTGGCGCCCGGCGTGATTTCGGATGCCTCCTCAATTGGGGCAGGCTTGCTTGGCTTCGATTTGACAGCCATGCGCCTGGGGGCCGACCACAGACCTTGGATGGGAAACTCCCGTACTGGCCCGTGCTTCTTCACTGATAGGGGGCAGCCCAGGCCACGAGGGTGGATAGACAGATAGATAGATGGATAGATAGACAGACAGACAGATAGATAGACACTGTAGATAGAAAGGCAGATAGGTAGACAGATAGACGGATTGGTAAACAGATGTGTAGACAAATGGATAGAACAGTGTGTTGAAGTGGTCCTCAGCATCCACCATTGTGGGGTCTTTCAGGTCATGTGTCATTGGACATGTTCACGCCAACACTGCAGATAAACAGCTAAACCTTGAAAAAAAATTCGCGACGTTGTCAGCTGAGCGAAAGTGCGCCTTGTCATCCACCCTTGTCAATGCAAAGAAGTAGTGGCGGGGGAGGGCGCAGCGCCTCCCCCACAATGAAAACAAAGTTTGGTCAGCAACCGGCACTGAAAGCAACCGCCTGAATCAAAAGTCTGCACCGTGGGACTGGCACCTTCCTCATCTAAATGTCACCTCGGGTGGCTTTCCTGCGGTTTGCCCCTTCGACCCTCCGCAAAAGCTCCAATTAAGAAAGCGGGAGGGGGCGCTGGGGGGGGCGGAGCACCTCCCCCGCAATGGAAAACAAGCGCGAGGACTTTGAGGTCTGCACCGTCAGACACGGCACCTTCCTCGTCTGAATTTATGGGCTGCATCCTGCACAGGCGTCGCCCACATCGGGCGACAGTAGCTCAGGTTCAACGATAGCATTGGCTCGCAACCAAATCCAGGGACAACCAACCCACATGGTGATGTCCATGACCTGTTGCTCGGCAGAGCATCTTCCTGTATAGTGGGCAGCCCAGAGGAAGATGCTGCATGCGCATCAACTACTGCAACAGGTGCTTGGTCGTCCCCTTGCATGTGTTGATCTGCCGGCGAGGTAGGCGAGGGCTACTCGGAGGAGGAGTGCTAAGGCAGTCCTCTGTCTGCTGCGCTGGAAGGGCACTGCTCATATATCATCACTTTTGTCTATGTCTTGTTCATTGTTCCTCTGATTCCTCACCCACGTTAGGAGATGACGGCACTGTGTAGTGTGATGGAGTGAGAGCACTAGCACTAGCTTCCGGCAGTCCTTCACTGCTTGGGGTCTGGGGATGGTGCGACAGGCTCGCGGTTATCAGCCGGGGTTGGGTGAAAGCACCCTTCACAGAGCTGCTCAGCTCTTGTGGGTAGTTGCAAATCTGAGATCGGGTTGACCCGCCACGCGTCATAAAAGTAGATTTTGTGGAGCGGTGCAAAATGACGGCCTTTGTGCTTCTCATCGTCCCCAATGCTGCATCGGCTATTGGAAGCCGTTGTTCCGAGCTTGAGGAGCCGCCACTTTCCTTCCCGTTTATCTGGGAGGACTGCCCACTCAGGGTCAGTGGCACCATCAGGCGCGGCCTGACTCAGTAGACCACCCCGGAAGATATGGGCAGTTCCAAACCAGAGCTCGTTCTGCTTTGACCAAGACTCGAGCGAGGACCGCTAGGACAAGACGTAAGCATCTCGCCCCTTGGGCTTGAAATTCGCAAATGCAGACAGGTAGGCGCTCTCCCCACATTTGGTGTGGCTGCATAGCCAGAGCGTATTCTTGCGCAGCGGTGGCTGCCATGTGTTTGCGAGAATCGCATGTCCCCTACCCTTGGAGCGATTTGCCCTCTTCTGTGCGAATGACATAGACCCCATGAAGCAGCGCCGCTATCACTTGGAGGGCGCCAGGAATTCCTATCTTTTGAATAGGGCTGGCTAGGACAACGATGTCAGTGGAGCGGCTATACCCTACATTGGCTCTGGTGTAAGCTTCCTCATTATCTTCTGGCGCACTTTTCATGCTGCCACTAAGGAAGGAGGAGGCTCCATGGAGTGTCGTGCAGTGGCTCCGGCGACCTTGACCGCCGTTTCAGCATTGGCAGGGCGCTGCGCCTTTTGAAAATTGCTTGAGAGCTTTGGCCTCTAGGTGTTGGCACTCACTGGGAGAGAGCCACTACCCTCAACCTCTACCAGTGACACACCTGGCGCAGCCAGGGGCGCTCCCCTTTCCACCCACTAGGCCAAGCCAAACCAAGCAACACCGAAGCCAGCAAGCAAGTGGTGGGACGTGGAGACCGAGGAAGCCACTCATTTCCCCACAGGGACGTGCCACAAGCAAGCTAGCAACAGCGCGCAAGGTTCAGCACCTAGCGAGCCCCCGAAGGTTCCGGGGCGAACCAGGAGAAGTCCAACCAAAAAGCTTTTCAGTGAGCCCGGTCCCAACAGAGCACAGCTCGGACACACCCGCAGGAGGCCCTCACTGTGGCCAGACTGTAGATCGAGCCCACTCTCAAAGGAGAGAGTGGACCGACCGGTGACCCAGTCATTAGCGATCCCATGTATCCCACGAGGATACACCTGTCTCGCGACAGGACCCTAACACTGTTAGGGAGGAACCGACGGTCTTGTCCACCGTGAGCTTAGCTACCCAACGGTGAATGTTGACCGTTAGCCAACGGGTTGCCCCGTTGACCCCTCCTCGAGACAAGTCCCCAAGGCTCTAAGAGGTTCACCGCCGACTCGATGGGATATCCAAGGATACCACACAGAGTCACAGAGCACAGCTTGCACCTAGCTAACTGCGCGTCCTAACTAAGAAGGGTGATCTCCTAAGGAGTTCACAGGGTCCTAGCTAAGAGAGCTGATACCTCGTTTGAGATATTTTGAGAATGAATGCAAGTCCAGGACAGTTGGCACAGATAACTGGTGGCACAATGAGTGACAACGGCGGCTTGCAGTTTTAGCCAATAGCATCTGTCAGGGAGGTAACATACAGCCCCCAATGGGAGGAGGCAGCGTACGGGAACCCCTGCACAGCCACATGATGTCCTGGATCGGCGGTAGCGCAAGACGACAGGAAGCTAAACGAGGCTCTTGTTAGAAGGGAGTCTTTTTTGCGTTCAAATCACTTTCCAACTACGAGTGCCAGTAGCAGAGCTACTGCAGGCAATTCATGTGATTGCACAGCCTGTGGCTGCCCCCCCCGTCAAAGAAAAACCGCCTCGTCCTAAACCAAATCTCCAAGGAAATTGGACACCTCTGCTCCCTGCCCACCAGGAATGGCGTGGCAGTGAGGGTGCCACAGGGACCTTCTTTAAGAGTTCGCGCCGAGTGCGGTTCTGTCCTGACGTTGACACTCGAGCAGCTGATTGCCTCTTGGCAGGACTGGTATCCCAGGACGGCGGATGCTCAAGCAGCCGGCACGAGCCAAAGCAGTCCCTCCAGCGTGTTGCCCGCGGAAACCAGCGAGGCACCTCTTAAATATATGGTTGTTTAATTTAACTTAGCTATTTTAACCAAATAATACAAATGAAAAATTGATATATTTATAATCTTATCCGATCATATACCGTAATTTATCATTAATCGTCTAAATATATCCTATATTTAATTAAATGGTGGAAATTATTCGCTTGGTTATTAGAGACGAATCGCATTATATAAACTATTCCCTGCCACGGGGATACCCCCTTATCATATATATATAATCGCCATTAACGAGCCCAAAGTCATAGCGTATAGGAGGATCCTACCCTATAGCTAAAACTAATTAAACTCAAATAGCTAAAGCTACCTTTCGTAAATTTCCGTATAGGCCTTCCTTACCTCGTTCTCCAATTTCGCATCGTTTTTGGGGTGTAATCTCGTTCTCCATTCCTATATTTATTTGGTACAATAGATACCCATCTCGTTCTCGAGAAGTGTTCCTACCGCGTTTCACCAACTAAACATATCATTAACCAAACCATTTCAAACAAATTGGCGCAATTAATGCCCAGCTCGTTCTTGGGGTGTTCCTACCTCGTTTCGTTAACTAAATCTGACATTAGGTTATAGAAAAGGAACGCCCCAACCACTAATCTTGACTGCCGCAAAGAAAAGCCGTTGCTCAAATACACATATATATATATATGTGTGTGTGTGTGTGTGTTCTATTTCTATTAAATACACTTGAGGCCAAGGGGGGGGGGCGAAAGCTAGCGCTCCAGAATGGGAAAGTGGAGGGCAGCGAGGTAGGAAAAAACACGGCGCTCTTTTTGGAGGCAGTCGCACGGAGTAGCAGAAGGCAGGACGCCTTGCACAAGTTGGGCGGGGCAAACGATTCCAGGTGAAGAGTCCTTTATATGTGGCTCTTTGCCCGGATCCTCCTGCGAGAGAAGAGAGAGAAGAGAGACGGAAAGACGAGAGACAGAGAGGAGAGAGAGAGAGAGAG